TAAAAACTAAGAATATCAAAGTGTTCTCAGCACATTTTTTCAGGCTGATTTTTAAAGTCTTATGAATTATCAAAGATTTGTGTTATTCTCTTTGGGAAAAGATCATTAGGAACTTAATGATGCTTTGGATTTTTTTTCATGTCTTTGATAATATAACTTAGAATTTGAAATATTTTAATAAAATTTATGAAAAATGAAGGTATATATCAATAGGATCTATTTAGCCCATAGCCTTTTTCTTTCTTAAATTACTGATTATATCTTTTAGCTTGTGACTTGTTAGCTTGTTTTTATAATAACAGTCAACATTTTTGTCTACTAATTTTATCATCTCTGTTATATTGAGTTAATTTTAACTCATTTATTTTTATCCTCATCATGGGTGAATTTTCCTGCTTGTTTGCATGCCTAAAAATTTTTTATTTGACGAAAGATCAATTGGGGAAATACCACATAAAAAATTGAAATTATAATGAAAGTCAGAGAAATGCAAATGTTGTCAATGAGAAACAAATAAAATGTGGTTTAGTTTCTATGTAGGGAGCAATCACAATGAACAGGCATCTTCAAAGGACTTACGAGATAAGTAGCATCTCAGATATGCCTGGTAACCAAACATGATTTAGACAGTAACAGATGGTAGGAACATGGAGAAAGAGATTTCAGCAAGAGAGAAACACTGGAATCTAAGATGATGTAAGGGTTTTTGAGGAACAGTGACTACACCAGTTTGCTTAGGAATTAGGGTGTGCATAAAAGAAGCAATGGGAAATACCTGCAGTTTGACATTTGACCACATTGTTTGCATGTCATACAACCCTCAGAGATTGCAAATACCTTGAAGAAGGTATTGTGGTACACACACAGGTATCCACACATTATATATGCATATACATATATATCAGTGTGGTTTTATGTGTATCCTTATATATACACACTTACATATACATATATACTTATATATGTACTAATATCTATATATAAATATATATTCTTTTACACAGCTCCAGGTGCAGTAATAGATACCCAAATTATGTATCTAACTGCACTGGGTTTTTAATACCTTTTTAGCAATGTTGTCTATACTGGTTGATACAACAGAAGTTTACTTGTTTTACAACCAAACACAGTAGCCGGTAGAGTCCTCATCCACAATTTTCTGGGTCAGAAACTGTTCAGATCAGAACATCAAGAATATGCCTTCACCCTAAGCTTTGGGAACCAGACCAATGATCTATGCCAGAAATTAAGAACATTGTTTTCTACTCAGCTTGCCCACACTGATTGTTGAAAGAAGAAAAATCATTATTAAAAAGAGTTTTTGCTAAATTAAAGGAACTTGTTTATTTTATGCTAAATTAAGGGAACTTGTTTATTTTCAACTCTGAGAATTTGCCTATTGGATGGCTTAAGAATTAGGCAAATAGGATGTGATTGTCTTCTTAAAAATAAAAAAAAATTGTACAGATATATACAATAAAGGCTTAACACTTTGGAACCCACCAATACTGAACGTACGGTCATTTGAAAGTTATTCATTAAGATGTTTGACCTTGTATTAACTAGCAAGAAAGTAAAATAATAGCTGAAATAATATTGTTGAGGATTATTGTATATATAATTTGATTACAAAAAGCATATTCACAATTAGGATAGTAATGATATAAATGATTACAATTAGGATAGTAATGATATAAATAATTCCATTAAGCTGGTGTTCTAGTTGTAAATAATATTTTTACAATAAAAGCTTTTCCTTTTTATGTAAATAGAAATGTGCACTCATTAATGAAAATTTAGTGCAACAAGCAAAGAAAAAACAAGTCCTAGTAACCCCCCAATATATATTTCTATCTAGTCCTTTGGGGTTGGCATAGTGAATATAGGCATGTGTGCGTGTGTGTATGTGTGTGTGTGTTTGTGTCTATGAGGAGATATATGAGTTTACTGAGTTATAGCTATATGTAATTATGTTTTCTAGTTGGGTGGTAAAACCTTACTGAAGTGTTTTTCCCCAGTGGAAGTTTTATATCCAGTTATAGGTTTATATATCTAATTGTGAATTATCAAGACATAATTCATAATATTTTGTTTTTAAACCACATTGAGATCTCTCTGTGAAAGGGCATGTTCATTGTGCAAGCATTAGAGCCTCTTGATTATCATAAGTCTTATCAGTTATAGTTGCAGACGGGATGACTCCCCTAGGAACAACCACAGGCTGTTGTGAGTTAGGAAATGCACTTGTTGATGGTCTCCCAGGGTACTCATCGTCTCGTTTGATAATAAAGATTTATCCATTCTTGACTACCTTGTTTTGCTTCATTCTCTATTCATTTATCAGTGTGTTTTGGGCTCATCCGCATATAAAAGAAACCACAAAATAATTGTGGTTTAAATGCAATTTTTGTTGTTCTTGCATCAAAAACAAGTCCAGAGACGGGCGATTTCATTCAGGTGGATCTGAATAGCATGATATCCAGGCCACTTCCATTTTTCTTTTCTACCATTCTTAGTGTGTGGCTTTCTTTTGCCAGGTCATTTATGATCCCAGATGGCTGCTAGCCTTTAGAAAGTTCCGCTGCATTCCAGGCCATAGGCACAGGCAAAGGATGCAAGAGAACTCCTTCCAGTGCAGTTAGCTCTCTCCAAAGAACTGTTCTGAGACACTCACCAACAACCTCCATGCACATCTCTGACAAGAATTTAGTAATGTGACCATACTCTTCAAGAGAGTTTAGAAAATGTAGTGTTTTTAGTGGGAGAATCGCTAACAAATAAAAATAGAATACAGTTTTTCAGGGAAAAGGAAAGACAACCCTTTGAAGTACTTATTGTTTTTAAACCACATTGTACAACCAAGCTGAACTCAAGTACTTTTCACAAGAAAGACATATGATAGTATATTTCTAAGCCATTGCAGGACTATGGAAAAACAAAAACGATACCTCTTTCTTTTCCTTTCGTAAATAAAGGACAGTGTGACTAAGAATAATGTTCCTGAGTCATAAGCATTACAAAAATCCCAAAACCCTCTGCATCTTGATCCATTATCATCACATTCGGTGTTTCAGACAAGCCTCAAAGGCAGACTTCATTTTTCCTTCCTAAGGAAACTGTTTTGCTTGTATTCTTGTTGTGCTTTGTTTTGCTTATTCTGTACTAATAGGACATATTTATTGATACATACAATTTATTTTTCAATGTTATTGCCTGCTGATATTTTATCATGCAAAAGTAAATGGCACAAAAAAGTAATTGTTTACAGCTTCCTGAATAAGAAGTTTTCATCTAGGTGTGTCTTTTTTTCCCATAGAGGAATGAACTATTTCTTTTGGGTGGAGAATTGTCAGATACATTTGCTGAAATTCTTAACTTGCCTTTGTATCTTCACCCTTGGCATTGAAAGTTATCCAAAATAAATTGCTAGGAAATCTGCTAAATTGTCTCTAAGGGAGTGACTAAAAAGTAGCCGCACTCTACTCTCTCTTTTGCAATAGCTCTGAATAGAATGGAATTAAATTCTGTCTGATGACTTAGGAAAATAGACAAGTAGTCTTCATGTTGCTTATGTATAGTATGGAGAGAGTAAGGAATATCTTCCTTTTGTACTTGGTAAAGAGCAGTATCTTCAGAAACACACAGCTTACGATTTAATGCATAGAAGTTGCCAAAGCTATTACAAACTTGTTAAGGTAATTTGTATCACCTTACTTTGTCAGCTACCTATTGCTGTATAGCAATTATCCCAAGGTTTGGGGCTTAACACAATAACATGAATTATCTCATGGTTTCTGTAACCCAGGAATCTAGCTGAGTCCTATACTTTAAAATTCCTCAGAGCATCGGGACACATCATCCTACAGACTCAATCACGAGAAAATATTTTCAAATTTTCCTCAAGTGGAAAACGAGTGCAGTGAATACACTAAGGATACATACATGTATTTTTTCTTGTCTCAAATTAACTTTTTACAGAACTTTTGCCTTTCGTCTTTGTCTTTATTGCTTCATACAGTGAATAATAGCTAATCTAGCAGTCAGAAGAGCATTCTTTATTTTTTTGTTTATTTTTTGAAGTCTTTTAATGTTATTTTTAAATTTTTTATTTAGTAGCTTTGTTGGGGGGTACAGGTGGTTTCTGGTTACATGGATAAGTTCTTTAGTGGTGATTTCTGGGATTTTTGTGCACCCATCACCTGAGCAGTGTACATTGTACCCAATATATAGTATTTTATCCCACATCCCCTCCCACTCTTCCTCTGTGAGTCCCCAAAGTCCATTATATTATTCTGATGCCTTTGCATTCTCACAGTTTAGCTCCCACTTACAAGTGAGAACATACAATATTTGGCTTTCCATTCCTGAGTTACCTCACTTAGAATAATGGCCTCCAGCATAACGGCCTCCAGCTCCATCCAAGTTGCCGCAAAAGACACTATTTTATTCCTTTTTATGGCTAAGTAGTATTCCATGGTATATATATATACCACATTTTCTTTATCCACTCATTGGTCAATGGACACTTAGGTTGGTTCCATATTTTTGCAATTGTGAATTAAGAAGAGCATCCTTTGAATATTCTCCTAGTGCCAACACTGAAAAAACAGAAAGTCATATAATAAATTATAGGAATATACTTTTCTGAAAATGTCTATATTGTCTTGAATTTTCAAGAAGACTATCTCTGAAATATTGTACTTAAAGTAGCCTATACTCCTAATATTATTGAGAGCTATACTTCTAGTATTATTGAGAGCTGAGGAGTATTACCTATACTCCTAATATTATTGAGAGCTGAGTATAATACTTAATAATTCCTTAAGTAATAAAGACTGGTCTTAATTATATCAAAAAAATCTCTGAAAATATTGCTATTTATTGACCTAGAAACAACTTTGTTAAAAATCTTAACTTAGTGTACTTAATACTGTACTATTTGCCATATAGTTACCATAAATTTCTTGCTGTTTCTCTCTTTGGCTACTTTTTTGAAATAGACTAAGATGCTTAGTGAAGCAGCTGGAAAGAGGTGACGTTAACGTCGTTGACTTAAAGAAGAATATTGAATATGCGGCATCTGTGCTGGAAGCAGTTTATATCGATGAAACAAGGTAAGTTTTAGCCTTCCTCTCTTTTATCCTCTTTGACTCACTCCCCTTTTTAATTCTTTCTTGACCCTCCTTTATCTCAAACAGGAATTTAGCATATCTTCATGTGAAACCAAAATCAAATCTTATTAAAATTTGAAAGGTTCTTCTTCATGTAGCTAATTAACTGGACTGTGATTCTCTAAAATGAATACACATTTTAATCCAAATGTTTGAATGTCATAAAATAGTCAAACACTAAAGTGAAAAAAAAAAAAAATCTCCCCTTCCCCCACCCTCACTCTCCTTGGGCTCAGACTTTTAAATGTCAGAGTTATGTGTAGGCTTATATTGGTTTTCACTGATGTCAGGATTTTCCCTATTATCTCAAATTTCAGAGTCCCTTTAGGAAAATGGGTGTTACATGCCCACACATTGTCATGAGATGTGTCTGTCAGGCCCTTTATGCAGGGATTGCTAAGGGGCATCCCAAATGGGTGTTTTTGATCATCCAAACCTAGCCTTATAATTAGCAGTGGTAAGGAGATTAGGAAAGGGGGACTTATTTGAAAAGGGTTGCCAGCTTAGTGCTGTGACCCTCAAAGAGGCCATTCACCCGCTGGAGGATATTTGGCAAGTCCAGGAGATGTGATCAGTGTCTCTTGGTGTTCAAAGATATCTGGTTCATAATTCTCCTTTCAAAAGGGATAAAAGTGACAGGCTAATCAGGGCTACCTGTGAATTCAGAGGTCAGAGGGAACCTGTGGGGAGAGAGGCATGCATTTCCAGCGTTTGACATGGAAAAGGTGCTAATTTTTTTTCACAGCCATAAAGCAGATAGAATAGAAGTCTCTTAAAGTACCAAAGAGTACTTAGGTCAAATAGTGAAAAAGAGGCTACAAAGAGTAAGTGATGGTATAAGAGCCAAGATAGGAATTATAAAAATTCAGATAAAATAGTAGAAAATATATATTCAAAGTACTCTCTTGGTGTTGGCAAGTTGTCTCTGAAGGACCCACAAATGGTCCCCAGGAGAAAAAAATAGGCAGCATTTGGGCATTTGTCACATAGATGGCAGCAAAACCACCAGTCTGGCCAGACCCTTAGTTCTATAATTTCCTGCCTCTTGCACCGCATTGCTAAGCAACCAGAAGCAGCAGTGAGTGGGAATATGGAGGTGAGGACACCCAACAGGCCCCTTCCACTCTGCAGGTGTCCGTGCCTGTGCCAGACCTAAGCTTGAGGAACATGAGCAATGTTAAACCAGATAGGCAACTAAATAACATTTAGTTTTTATTTACCTATGCGTACTGGACTTCACAGGCATGCAGATACACACACACACACACATTGTTTAATAAGTAAAAAATTCACATGATGAAATTCTTGCCTCTACCCTGGTCACAGTCTACTCTGTTTCTCATAAACTTCTTATATATCTTTCCAGTGATTGGTTACATATTTTTATTTTGTATTTTCCCCTCATCGTTTCATGGAAGGTAGTATACTACATAAACAGTCTTTCATTCTGCTTTTTCTCACTGAAAAAGGAAACTTAAAAGTATTCTTTTATTGTATTCTGATTTTAAAAATATTTAACAATGAGAATTTTTACTAATAGCTGGCAGAAGAGGCCATATTGAGAGCTTTGTTGCACAAGTGATTCTTTCTTTGCCCACAGAATGAAACTCCTCTGCTAAAGCATAGCTTGGAGAAATTATTTGAGGAAAAGAAAACAGGCCGGGCACAGTGGCTCACACCTATAATCCTAGCATTTTGGCAGGCTGAAGTGGGAGGATCACTTTTGAGCCCAGGAGTTCACAACCAGCCTGTACAACATAGCAAAACCTCATCTCTACAAGAAAACACAAAAATTAGCCAGGCGTGGTGGAGTGTGTCTGTAGTCCCAGCTGTTTGGGAGGCTGAGGTGGGAGGATCACTTGAGCCAGGGAGGCTGAGGTTGTAGTGAGCTGAGATTGTGCCACTGCACTCCAGTCTGTGTAACAGAGTGAGATCATGTCAATAAATAAATGAATAAAAGAAGGAAAGAAGAAAGAAAAAAGGAAGAAAGAGAAGGAAGGAAGGAAGGAAGGAAGGAAGGAAGGAAGGAAGGAAGGAAGATTATTTTCTTGGTGAATGTTCACTGAATGTGTATGAATGTACATGATTCTAAGTAAACAGAATCCAAGGTGCAAATTTTAAAAATATCTGATATTTTTCCCTTGCTCCCTCATTTTCATGTGGCTCTTATTGTTCACGAGATGACTGAATTTAACAGGTTTAAGATTTCTTCAATCTGTCCTTGAACAGATATTTTCTTTTCTATTTATCTATAAAACTTAAGAACCAAAGAACGATTTGAAGATTTCCATTATTCATCTTCTAATGGCATAATGCTAACCACCTGGTTTGCCTAAGTGTCCTGTCTGTCATTTGATAGATTATTATATGCTTTATTTATTTATTCATTTTTTCTGGTGCATTTCCATTCCCTGAAAAGTATGACTCCATGAATATTTGCTAACTTAGTTCCCTATGATCCTTAACTTATTTAAATGTATGTTATACCTAAAGTATAGCTCTTTTTCATTTTAAAATTGCTCTTTTGAGGGGAAAAGAGGTTGAGCACAATGCTGCCCGGCTTTGTGGTAGAAATTCATTTATTTTTTTCCTTCTTATAACAAAACATTCCATCTCTTAACACCACATTATTCCTAATATTTATTCCAAATTTTTATTATTTTAATGTAATTCTTCCATGGCATCATGAGTTTTAAATTGGATTAATTATAATACCCCACATTTGTATCATCTTCAAAGGGCTCTTTGTTTCATTATCTCACATTAGTGTCACCACAATCCTATGTGATTGGCAGGACGATTATTACTTTCTGCATTTTACTAATGAGAGAATTAAAGCTCTTAGAAGGAAAATGGTTTGATACAGGTCATGGATGGGAGTGTTGGCAAAACTGAGACTAAAACCTAAACCATGACTTCTTATTTAGTACTCCTTCCTCTATACCTGGCTCTTCTCAGAGTGTTCCTGTAAAACAGAAGGGTTTTTAATGACCTCTGAAAGATTTAGATGACAACATATAAAACATTGTGATAGCTGGAATTGTAAATCCTGTAGCTAACATGTATTAAGGGCCTAGTATGTGCCAAAAAATCTTCTAAGCATTTTATATGTACCATTTTATTTAAACATCATAAAAGTCCTATGAGGTAGAAACTCTATTATTACCAGATTGTATATGAGAAGACTTAAATCACAGAAAAGTTGCATAGCTTACCAAAGGGAAGACAGGGAGTTGAAGAGTTGGATTAGGGCCTTGGCAGTCTGACTCTAAGACTTGGGCCATGAAGTGCAAATCTCATCCTCATCCCTTTTCTAACATTTCACGAAAAGGTGACTTCAGAGACACTGAATTTTGATGAAAGTGCACAGGTTGTCAGGATCATCAGCCCCAGTAGTACACTGATTGTGTGCCATCTCTTTCCAATTCTGCCTTCAGTAATTTCACGTGGCTAGCTTGAAAATGGTTACAGTGGGAGTATTCACAGCCATGAAAAATAACATGCTACAAATCAGAATTTATTTTTTTTCTGGAGAGTCTGTTGTTAAACATTTACCTTCATACCACAGGTCATACCTAAGATTACCCCTTATAAATCTCCTAAGAGCTGCGATTTTATGATCAAAATATCAGCTTAAGAATGTTTAGAACAATAATAATTTATGTGATTGATTTTCTATATACTTAGTAAGACACACAGCAGTAAACTGAGGATGTTTCTGTTGAGATGTCCATACAATTATTAAAGTACCATTTCCCTTAAAACTATCAGTAAAACAGAGATCATGGAAAAGGAGTCAGGTCCAAGAAGCATTTCGTTGCTTTTAAACTTTAAAAACCTTTTGACTTCTGAAATGTTTTCTGATGGAAAATTCTCTTTCTAGAAAAAAATGATTCCATGAGTATTCCAGAGAGGTATTGTTTGAAAGTTGGGCTGGACTGAAAGAAAAAAGTCAGCACAAAATAAAGCAGTATAAAACACAAATTATTAATTGGAGCCTTAATGACTGCAGAATTTCAGTTAAGAAAGCAATCAAAGCAAAAATCTCCCTTTAAAGATAATTTTGGTGAGAAAAATAAAAACAATTTCTGAATTCTGACTCTCAGTGGAGATTATAGCACAATACCCTAATGAATTTGACTGTTGGGTTTTTTAAAAGACATTTCCAAATGCAAATGCCAATCCTTTATGAGTCTTGTGTTTAGATGTGTCTCTAGAGGCTATTGTTTTTCAAACTTACAAAGTTTTAATCCAGAAACATGTGACCTAAAAAAATATGTTCAATTGTCCTTATTTGGATTGGGATACTGCCAAGCAAAGCAGCATCTTTGGCCTCATGAATAGCAGGGCAGGCAGCTGCCTGAGAGGTATACTTTCAAGATGGGAATTGTGCTTACTAATACCTCCTAAAAACACAATTTATAACTTTCTTTGGTTAACATGAACCAATCTGTCTCATAATTACCACGATTAGAGCATAGACTCTGGATTCAGAAAGACTAGGTTGTTCAAAGTCTGGATTCTCTACTTAATACTTTTCTTTAAGGAAGTTACTTTACATCCCTGGCTTTATCATCTACAAAATGGGAATAAGGACAATGTTCACTTCATAAAGTTGATATGAGAATTAAATGTATAACAATGCCTAACAGAGCAAAATTTAAATAATAACAAGACATTTCTATTTTAAATAAAATTCTTATTTATTATGTATGAGCAAAATGCAAATAACTCTCAGATACATAACACATGAAGGTATATGATTAACATAGTCTAATGAAGGTATTAAACGCTTCCCTGAGAGCAGTTTTTAATCCTGAGAAAATGAAAACAGGTGGGCTCTGGTCACCAAGGAATGAGAGCATAAAATGATGAAAAAGAATGCCTTTCCCTTAATACAGAGTCATTATCTCTGTGTTAATGATGGAAAAGAGTGCCTTTCC